TCAATTACTGTACTTCAGTGACATACATTATGCTAAAATATTTTTAAATTTTTCATTGTGACTCTAAATGGTCTCCTAAAGAGTCAACATAAAGAGGCATGAGTATATGGGGGTGTTTTTGCTAAAGTTAAGGAATTATCTCGAGATCCAAAAAAGAAACTGAAGGACAGAAGAAATCTCTGTTTTGTAGATCCTATAAGTTCACAGATAATGCTATTGTTTCAACAAACATTTGATACTGAGAATGAAAAGAGATAAAGATAAAAATACAGTATTGGAATGTAAGGACTCTCGGCCAATATCTTGCTACCTACCAGGAATTGGCAAACTATGGTCCATGATCAAGTCTACTATCTGTTTCTGTCAATAAGGTTTTATTGGAATATTGTCACTACCCATTTCTTGATACATTGCTACAGCTGTTCTTGCACTAAAACAGCAAAGCTGAGAAATTACAACAGAGACTGTACAGTCTGCCAAACCTAAAATATATATTATCTAACCATTTACAGGAAAAGTTTACCAACCCCTTATGTAGAACCTGAAGAAAATATTATTTCCTCAGGGAGAAAATGTTATCTTGTGGGGCTGGAGCAAATTTTATAGGAAAAGTAATACTTAAAGATAAGTAAATGTGCACCCAAACCAGGAAATGAGGAAGGAAGAAATATCACATATAAAAGCATAGGGTGAGAGAACACTGTATTTTAAGAGAACAGGAACACTCACAGTTCATCTGGTACAGAGGAGACTGAGGATGTGGCAAGTGAGCAAACAGCAAAGAATAAGGCTAGCAAAACAGGGTAAAGTTAAGTTACCTCTTCAGAAGTTTAAACTTGATATTACTCAATTCAAGGATAATAATTAATCAACAAAGTTAAAATACTAAGATTTCTGAAGGAGCTAATTTTTTGGAATTAGAATAGCTTCAAGGTTATTCTTTTGTTTCTCACTGATTTGTATTGACATGATTTTTCTAAACGAGAAGACAAAGATTATAGATACCCTAATGCACAACTGCCATCATCCTGAGTATACCAACAGACATTATGTTGCATATTTGAATACTATGCAATTCGTCATGGCTGTCACAGGATGAAAAAAAAAAAAAACTGAGAAATTTTAACTGTAGGAAACAGGAGGCAGAAAGCAGTTATAAATAATGGACTGGCATGATCCAATATGGGTTTTAGGAAACCTAACTCCAATGACAGAAAAGGAAGATGGGCAGAGAGATACTATAAGGAAAGCAGCCTGGAAGTTACTAACTAGGCAAAAGGAGAGCAATATTTAAGGCACAAGCGCAGTGGAAGGAAACAAGTTCTGCAGAGATTGAACAGAATATCTGCAGGAATATCTCTTCAGTAGGCAACTGAAAATAGGTGAATGCAGGTGAGATTTGGAAGTGATAGCTGTTCAAAATTGTAGAAATGGATGAAATTTCTTCTGGGAAATGTTAGCACACAGGTGAAGGGAATCAATAAAGGGAAAATACAGGAAAACTACATATTATTAATAAGTAGATACAGTAAGAATAGCTAGGAGAGGATCAGAAGGAAAAAAAAAAGATAAAAGTGATGCTACAGAGGTCAAGAGCACAATTTCAATAGCTCGTCACACAGAATAAAGTCAGGTTGTTGAGATATGTTCAATGATCTTCCAGTAACAAAGTACAAGATAGTGTGTGGAGAGATAACAACCAAATGATTATATACAGAATAAAGAGTCATGAGATATTCCTTAGAAAGGAAAAGGGATCTGAATTCAACGGGCTGCAATCCCATTCTTCTATCTTATTAGACAAGTTAAACTTTCTAAGCTTCAGTTTTTAACCTATAATACTTGTACAGGTTGAAATAATTAATCCCAAAATCCTAAATATTTCATGAAAGGATCCCAAATCAGAAACTTTCTGAGCTCTGACACAATGTCATAAGTGGGAAATTCCACACCTGACTTCACATGATAGGCAGCAGTCAAAATGCAGATGCACTAAAAATACTATAAAAATTACCTTCAGGCTATCTGTACAAGGTATAAATGAAACATAAATAAGTTTTGTATTTTCAATTGGATCCCATCCCTAAATTATCTCATTATGTGTATGCAAATATCCTAAAATCTACAAAAATCTAAAATTGGAAGTTCTTCTTGTTTCAAGCATTTTGGCTATGGGATACTCAATATGTGATAGTACTTATTTCTTCATAGGAGCATGATGAGGAATGAATGAGGAAATATAAAGTACTTAGAACAGTGCCTGGTGCATACAAGTAATGAGTGAAATATTATTAATGTTATTTTTACTGGGAAAGGAAAAACCATGAAATCATGGAAACTATTGCCTAAGGTAACTCTGCTACTTGCAGCCAAAAGGGCGAACAACTGTTAAATATTGAGGAGGATAAAGAACATAATCGTACCCTTAAACTATAGAACATAAGAACTGGAATTATAAAGCAATTATAAAGCAAATTATAAAGCAAAGTAAAGCAATTATAAAGCAAAGTAAAGATGGGAATTAAAACACAATACAATAAAACATAACTGGGGTCTCTGAGAAAAAATAAAACTAAGAAAGGGACACAAAGTCTCCATGAAAGGTTTCTAATACTGCCCAAAGAAACAGAACAACTAACCAGCAGGTGGAGCTCTCTAGAATGTGTTGGCAGGCTAAATTTCAGTGAAGGATAACTCATTATGTCTAAATTTTATTTCTTAAAAGATATTTTTTAAAACCCTATTTTATCACCAAATAACTTTATTAGAAGTAAGGTTTCCAATATATATACTTCAACACTGATACTAATATTTTGATTAGTCAACAGATATTCTAGAATATAAAATATTAGAATTCTGTAGTATTCTTGGTTAACTCTGGTTTTGAGACTGGATAAGAGTGATCTGATTTTGAGTACTCCTGGGAAATCTGCAAGAGTAAGACACCAGGCTTTGCATCATAAAGCACTCCTGTGAAGTCCAGTTTGAATCAGCCTAAGAAAACCCAGCAAGCCCTATTTTTCTACCTGTGGTCACTACCATGACATATAAAACCAAATCAAGCTTTTGTTAACTATGCCTTGAGGAAAATCAAAACTTACTAGGTGGGTAAAAATAGCAACCAAATCGAGAGACAAAGTTTAACCTTATTGTGTAAATAATTATATCTACCTGTCTAAATGTTTACAAAAAGCTGCTAGAAAAATGTTAAGATTAATATTAAACAGTAAATTATCAAAGGATTCAAGTAAGGAAACTGTCAAAACTTGTGTTTTTGGATTAAAAGAAATAGGATCAATATTGATTGTATGGTTTCAGATGATAGCATCTACAAGACCCAGATAAAAAAACCCCATGTTTCAATGACATTTAAACATGGACATTTAACACACTGATTCACTGATTTCCTCCAGCTCATGTACTCAGGGACCAGAATCTACACTTTTAATACATAATTAGTTTGTAAAATCTCTGTGATAAAACAAAAATTCCACAAAATCTATATAATGTAGTCCAAAGGTAAACAGTAATTTTTGCCTACCCATTCAGATTTAAGACCCTCCTTCCTTTCTAAAGGTTAGAATTTAACCTCCTCAACACAAAGACAAACAATAAAAAAGGCAAATATCCTACTATTGTGTGCATGTAGTCCTTAGGGAAGCCTATTTAAACAACGTAATTCTATGGGTGCACACACACACACACACACACACACACACACAAAAGTTAGAGGTAAATTAGAAGATTGTGGATGACAAGATAAAACAGCAATCATGCTCCCCTTAACAGTGATAGTAATAATTCAGGGAAACCAAAAGACTAAATCAGGCAGAAAAATCTGTAAATCCTTATAACTTCCATTCCTGGGACATTCAGAGTAAAACCTTAAACTACTTTGTATCAGTGAGATGATACAATGTCTGGTTGATAAGTGAATCATATTATATTTTATGAGACCTTCATTACCCAATGGCTCAAATTATAATCATCTGATTTCCGCATGTTTATGCTGAACATCTTACTTAATAATATTGGCTAAGTGGGGCAGATGCTGAAAACTCAGCAATGTTTCAAAAAGTGCAAAATAGTTTATTCCTTACATAAAGTGGCTTGGTTCAGATTTTCCAATTGTAGGTTTGGATTCCTGAGAGATAGTTAACAACAACAAAGTCAACTCCAAAGGGATTTGCCCCAATTTTCTAAATACTCTATTAAATAAAACACAAAAATGGAATATAAAAATTTTTACTCTATGGTGTGGATAGAAAAACCTTAGCATATCCGCAGTTTCACTCAAGGAGTGAGGTTCAGAAACACTTGGATTTACCTAGTGTGTGTGTGGGTAGCAGTCACTGCATGGCATTCCTCTCCAAATTTCAAAATAAAATAATGTGAAAAAAATGACATACTGTCTCTCTTGTCATCAGTACCAAAAATCTGAATGCCCAATGGAAACTCAGCAATTTAGCAACTCCTTCTATCAAAAAGTTCACCAGTGCCTAGAATCTTATTTTATTTCTGCATCCAGATGACTTCTACTTAAAATCCATCTGAGGCATTAACTTTCGAGCCAAATTCTCACCTCCTCTGTCAGGACTAAAGAGGAGATCAAATACAGCAATACCGACTTTGGAATTAAACCCGAACTCAATGTAGGGTGTGTCCAGGTAGCTGTAGAGCCGGTCCTCCTGCCCATCAGTCTGAGAGTGCACCAGCTTCCTCGAGATGATGCCTCCCGTGACTGCTTCGCCGCGTGACAAGGAGTCTTGCTGGAGGTGGCAGGAGCCACACCCCGCCCCCTCCTCAACCTCTTTCGCTAGGAGGCCCAGAGACCGCCCCCTAGCAGGGCCTCCACGACCATCATCCTACTCGACGCCTGTTAAGCTGTAAGGATAGCAAGGCTCTCAGACCCTCCTAACAGATGGGCAACACTGAGAGGGCTCCCCGCCAGAAGCTGGAGAGGTGTCTCTCGGGCTGGGCCAGTCCCCTAGCGGGCTTACCCTCCGCCGCCTCCTACACGCTGCAGCCGCCCCGCTTCCTTGCGGAGCAGCCCGAAGCACTGCGTCCAGCAGCAGTTCCCCATCGCATGCCGCCCAGGTGCCGCCGCTGCTCCTCCTCCTCCCGCTCAAAGCCCAAACCCAGGCCCGGCAGCCGCATCCGCGCGGCACGAGCCGAAGGTGGGTTCAGGGAGCTAGGGCGGGCCGGCCGGAGCGCGGCAGCGTGAGGGGCTGGGGCAACGGGAGGGACGAGGCGCTCGGAACAAAGGCGGCGGTTAGTCCAGAGGCCCCCAAGCCGTGGCCGCGCGAGAGAGGAGCGCCGGGCTGCGGGGTTTCGACTGCCTGGCCAGCAGCATGGCCTTCTCGCCTCAGCCCCCAGCCCAAGACGAGTGACCGCCTCCGGCCGCCGCAGTAGGCCAGTCCTTGGGAGTCGTGCGCGCAGGCCCCGCCTTCCCGCGAGCCAGGCCCGAGCTCGGAAGCCGAGGCTGCCACACCCCCGGCCGCTCCAGGGCCCCGATTGGGCTCCCTTCTTCGGCAGCCCCGCCTCCTCCGGCGACCGGTCCTTGCCTCACTTCCGCCAGCCTCAGCCTCAGCCTCAGCCTCTGACCCGCTCGATTGCTCGGTGTAGGTGTTGTATTTGTCGGACCTTGACCGGACTAGAAAGTTTCCTTCTCTTCTTGCAGTTTCTGGACTCAGGGCCCCGAGCGCGCCGAGTGTCGTATGGTTAAGGTTCAGCCTTCGAACTTTGTACTAAAGCCCTGGGAGCGTCTCCCTAGAGCCCCAGGCCGGAAAGCAATGAATGTGAAAGGCATTTCTCTGCAGCATATGCTTCGTTTTTGTTAATATACAACCATCGTTGGGAATAGAAATGGATTGAAATTATGCTGTGCACACCAATGATTTCTTTTTCTGGATCTCATCACAATTTCCATACACTGTCAGTGTACTAAGGGAGTTTATTAATGGTGCACTACTGGCCAGGTGGGGAAGTTGGGATCCAGAGGAAATCTGCAAGAGTGCTAGGATCTTTCAGGGTCACCAACCTTGCCAATGATCTGCCCAGAATTGTTGGAGAGGAGTGTAGGGAAAGCTTCCTGATCTGTGGCATCCCTGTTCAAATACATGGTTTTTGTTTTTGTTTGTTTGAACCCAGGTTTTCAAACAAACACGGAGCTACATCCCCAGCCTTTTTTAAATTTTTTTAGTTCAGACTCTTGCTAATTTGCCGAGGCTGGCCTTGAACTGGTAATCCTCCTGCCTCAACTTCTCCATTTGTTGAGGTTATAGGCGTGAGCCATCGCACTGTGTTTCAGATGCCACATTAAAAAAAGCAGGTTTTTGTCAGCAGGTTGCCTTAAAATCATACACAAGATGTGGCTTGGTGAATGCTTAGTTCAGTGAGCGAGATGCTTTATTGACTAAAGAGATATGTCAATAAATTAATGTTTTAATTAATCCTAGTGAAATTGCTGTATTTTAGAAAATTGATATTAATGATAAAATGTTATTTGATTTGATCAATTACTTTATTCCTGAAATCTAGGCCACCTTGGATTTCAGTATTAGCACCACTTAACTAATTTTATTTGGAATTTACTCAGCTTTGTATTCAAATACATAGGATAGTGTACGCCTAGTGGTCTGCTCTCACTCCATGAGTGTTGGTGAAATGACTGAATGACTTCCTAAATAGTGACTGTTCTCTTTGCCCTTCCTGGTCTCTGGAATCAAGTAAATATATTAATGAAATAGTCGGTAAAGTTTATAAATATTTAAGGAAACTGGTACATCTCTGAAATACTAATTAATAAAAAGGAATACATTATCGATGAACACATCTTCAATGAATCTGCAGGAAATTATGCAGAATGAAAATGCCAATCTGAAAAGCTCACAGTATATAATTCTATTTATAGTCCGTTCTAGAAATGACAAAATGATAGAAATGGGAGGACAGAGTGCTGGCTATTTCTGGTACCCAGGGAGTTGGGAGTATCCTTGTAGTGATGAAAGCCTGTATTTGGCTATATCAATATCCTGGTTGTGACACTGTTATATATTTTTTAAAGATACTCCCTTTGAGGATAACTAGATTAAGTCATTGTCTCTTAAAACTGAATGTAACACCACAGTTATTGCAAAATAAAAAGTTCAAGTACCTGGGTGTGGTGGCAGAGCAGGCTGAGGGGAGGATTGCAAGTTCCAGGCTAGCCTTGGCAACTTAATGAAACCTTGCCTAGCATGTACAATATCCTGGGTTCAAGTCTCATTAATACACATGCACAATATTGAATTAAAAGTTCACAGCTGTAAAACCTTATAAAAAGTTAATCTTTTTTAAAAAGTAAATATGCTTTCTTACTAAGGATATGATCTTCAATAGCAATATAAATGACTAAAACATTTTCAAAGGATTCCACTAAGCAAAACAATGTAAATCCAAACAATGAGAAGTCATTGTTCGCTTGTCAAGTTAAAAAAAAAAATTACAAATGAAATGTTAAGTATTTGCAAGAGTTCAGTGAAACTCATTCTGAAAAATCATTTGGAAATATTTCACAAGAGTCAAACAAACTAAATGCTTCACCATAGAAGGATAGGGAAATTTGCTGCTATGTTCTTATTATGTAGTCTCATAAATGTTTTTTGAAAAACTAGTAATATAGAAAAAGCTTTCTGAATAATATGTGAGAAAAGTTAAGTTAGGATAGAAAATTTTATATATATATACACATATATATATATATATGTATATATATGTATAACAAATCATGTTTAAATCAAAGCACATACTTCTTTCTTATATATATTCCTAAGGAAAAATAAAGGCTTGGTAAATATGAAAATATGAGAAGAATGCAAATCAAAACTACACTAAGATATCATCTCTAGTCAGAATGACAATTATCAAGAACACGAATAACAATAAATTCTGGTGAGGACATAGGTAAAAAAGAAACCTTTTTACATTGTTTGTGGGTCTGCAAATTAGTACAACCACTCTGGAAGGCAGTGTGGAGATTCCTCAAAAAACTAGGAATGGAACCACTATATGATTCAGCTTTCCCACTCCCTGGTATTTATTCAAAGCAATATAATCACCTCAGTGTTTATAGCAGCACAATTCACAACAGCCAAATTATGGAGTCAACCCAAATGCCTGTCAATAGATGAATGCATTAGAAGAAAGATCAGTGTAGTAGAAGAAGAATGAGAGTTAGGAAGGAAGAGAAAGGGGAAGATAATGGAATGAAGTTAACAAAATTATGTTATATGCATATAAAGGTATCAAAGGAAATTTCACCTTTATGTGTATGTAGAAAAAAGGAAGTTTAGTAGAGGAGAGAGAATAGGGAGAGGGAAGAGAGGAAGAAAGGGGGCATAGGAATTGAAATAAAATTTCTTTCCTATATGGATTTGTCAAAATGAACCCAAATGCTGTGTATAATTATAATGCTCTGATAAAAATAATATTAAAAGGAGTTATTTCAAGATTGTGAATTTGGGGAGATTTTTTCCCTAATTTTTGTTTTCTCAGTTTTTTATAATGATCAATTAATATTTAGTAAACTTTTAATGTGCTTCATCAGAAGAAAAGATTAGTGAATAACCAGTTCAATTAAAGTTTGATAACAAATGCAGACATTTAGAAACTGATGATATCTTACTTCAGTGTGGGTGGATAATAAATTGAGGAGAACGACTTAACATTTTAGTTTTAGAAATGTATTAAATTACCATGCTAATATAAGAGGTTTTTGGAATTTATCATCTTGCAAAATTTCACCAATTTGATATTAATAATTTTATCTTCATTGTAATGTAGCTTTTGTAAACATTCAGTTTAATGATGATCTGCTATTGGTTAAGCAAAATTGCCAGGAAGAAACCCCACAGTTATAAGGGATATTTGTGAAGTAGATGTACTTTGTTTTGTTTTACAGATGAGAAAGAGTTCCTAAAGAAATTAAATAATTTGTGCAAGGTCATATAATAGATTAAAAGTGTAACATTAAGAACACCCAGTTCTTCTGGAATTCTGAGGAAAGTATGGTAGCTTAGCTTTCCAGACCAGAAAATCTGAAAGGAAGTAAGCCATTACAATATCTTCATGTACTGAATTCCAGCCCCCACGCTGGCTTTTCAGCAAGGACCATATCCAGAGGTATATCTGGGTTTTGTGGACTTGAAGTTCATAAAACCTGGGGGGCATCTCTAAGTGTAAAACCGTAGTTAGGTACAGGATCTTGGAAGGCACCCATGCAGGTGAGAAGTCCTGAAAGTAAGCTTTCACTAGCTATGTCACTAATCTACATCTGAAGAGGCATCTTTACCCTCTTTGGGGCCTCAGTAAGAGGAGAAGAGGTGTTGGAAGTGGGTGATTAAAAAAAAAAAAAGAATACCATTTCTGACAGTAAGACTCCCCCAACACTTAAATTTGGGCAGAGGTATAAAACCAGTAAAGATCATAGTCAAGAGTATTTCAAGTTTTATGTGTTTAATTCATCACAACTTGAGAGTTTGTTTATATTATAATTGGTCCAGGAGAATATTCGAGACTATCTTAGCAGTAAGAGACTATCTGCATTGATGACCCCTTAAAGTCAGTTTGCTACCCCAGCTTCCTGGTATCAAGACTTCTCTTCTCTAACCCCTTCAAAAGTCCCTTCTGTAGTATTTTATCATGTCAAGGGAAGGTTGTTTTTTTTTTTTTGTTTGTTTGTTTGTTTCCCTCATAGACACTCAAGGAGTCAATCAGGATGCATTTCCAACCATCTTCTGGCTTATGTGGTTCCAAATTTGATTCTCTTGTTTGCTCAGAATCCTCTAAGAGCTGTTAACCATGTCTTCAGTTTGAGATCAACTGTTATTATCAGGTTGGTCTGATATGATAGGTAGTCCCTGTAAGGGGAAGAATTCTGTGCTCTCCATTATCACACTAGTCCAAACAGACACAAAAACTCATCCTTTTAATTCACTACATAATTCAGATTAACAAAATTGACAAAGTGCTAGATATTATCAATCTAAAATAGAAGTAATAAGATAATAAAACTTACTTACCTTTGTTTTCAGGATAAATGATCAAGCATCTGTCAAGTGCTTGTATAAGGTACTATAATACATATAATGTACTATATATACTTTTACTATAATTATATTACCACAAATATAAATGTGAATTATTATTATCCACACTGAAGGGATTTCATCAGCAAGTTATACTTTCCTTTGTAGCCATATCCCTGGCATCCTATGGGGAAAAAATGCTAGATTTTAAAAACTTCCGCTGCTCAGGACTGTCTCCAGGCACACTCCACACCACTACTTGAATTCAGGCTCTAAGACATGTGGCCCAGATAGAGGAAAAAAATCCTCAAATCTCAGGCCTTGTTTGTCCCATCTTCCCCTTTGCAGATGGTTGAAAGTAAGAAT